TTTTAACTATAAATCAGCATGGGTCAAGGAGAAAGATATTAAGTATTGTGTCGTGTAGTTTTCTGGATTGCTGCAAATTCTTTGAGGTGTCTGATGTGCCTCATTCCTTATTGCAATACGCATATTTTTTTCAACAAGAAGGCTGGATAGATTTATTAGTTTTTATTAAAAATATATATGCAATTAGACAAGGGGATCTTAATAAAAATTAAAATGTAGGCATTTAAGTCTACCCACTGTGGTGTTTAAAAGTCTATCATGTCTTGTACTGAAGTACTGAAGAACAGTTTCTCTTCTAGATGACTGTTACCTAAACCTAATACTTCTGAGAAATGTCATTTGGTTTCTCAGTAGTAGTTTGTTAAGGGTTAGAATTACCTCTAAGAAATCATTCATCAATCCAAAAACAGAACCAAACATGCCAGGCACGTTGCTAAAACATTCGTAAGTCTAACTGTTTGCCCCTCTTTTTGTTCAGCTGCATGGCTTTGCATGGCGTGGCTCTTTTTGGTTTCTATGCCCCTCCCTAGTCCCCAGCCTGTTCTTCACCTTGAATAAAGTGAAACCGAATTTTGACTGGGATGTGATTATTATTTGGGTTTTTTTTTTTTTAATATACTGCTTTAATGAACAGGTACTACCATTACTCAGAATTCCATAGGTAGAAGTTGACAAATTAAGTAAAATCCTGTCTCTGAGAACACAAGGTCAAGCTTCTGTTGCAGCCATCTCAGTGAAAGCAGAATACAGACTTTAGTCTTTACCTTCCGTTTATTGTAAGGACAAGTTTTTAATAACTGGATTTACATGCACCATCTCCCTTTAAAGTATTTTTTTTCTGTTGACACATTGAAAAAACATACGTGATGGTGCCAGATAACCAGATTCTTATGAAATCATCTTTTTTCCCCCAAAAAAATCTGTATGTATGCCATTAGCTATTTATTGTCTTTGGCATTTCACAAAATACACTCACATATTTAAAAAAAACCCTAAGGTCTTTTGTTCCAAGTTATTTTAGCCATCTTTCTGGAAATAACAAATACTACACACTAGTCAATAAAAGATTAATTATACTGTGTAATGGTAAGTAAATTTAATACAGCACAATCTTGAATTTGAACTACAAACCCTAAGTTTCCTTATTATTGTGCTGATATAAAGCAGTTTCAATAAATACATCACATACCTTAATAGGATTGTTAGCTCTTGGGGCTTGTTTGCAAGTATCTCCATACCCATATGATGTTTAAATAGATGTGTATATATTTGATTTGCATATATTTCCCAATATATTGGCTTCATGAACAAGCATGTTATATAAAACTATTCAAAGATTCCTCACACCCCCCCCCCCCCCCCCCCTTCTTGAGCTTTTCATATTTGAATTCCAGAGAAGAACTACCTAAAGACTGCATTGCTGGGAATCATGTAAGTATTGTACAAGGTAAGAGTGTGCAGTGTTTCTTCAGCAAATCATACATTTTCACGGTACCCTCTTCCAGCATTAAACACTCCCATTTGATCCCTCTTCATCCGCAGTGACCAAACTTTACTGCAGATGGCAGCAAAAAAAGAAAGAAGCAAAACATTTACCCCCAAGGAGCTAAGAATAGAGGTGGCTAAAGTTCCTAACAATTAATTACTGAGTTGTTTAGGGTTTTTTCCCCTATGTTGATCAATTTATCCATAACTTCTGCCAAGAAAGGGTCTCAGGTTCTCTGCTTAAATGTGTTACTGAAGCCAGACTGGTTGAAGGGAGCTGTCTGTCCTTGCTGTTGTGGGCAGATTATTATGGAAATTAATTAAATACTGTGGAATGTCTAGGGGGTTTTTTTTGTTTTTTTTTTTTAAGGAATTGAGACTGTGTATTTCAAAAGAACAGGGTTATTAAATGTGGGAACTCTTCATGAAAAATACTGCTAATATGCATTGTGTATTTGTAATTGTCTCAGATGTGGTGCAAAGAGTTTCTGACTTGGATTTGGTTTTCCTATCTATCACAATACTTGTTCCATTATGCAGGTCAAAATTTTACAAAGTGTTTCACATTTTTGTACAGAAAACATTTGTGTTTATCATAATCTTCTGTTGAAATGCAATTGTCATAGTTTGGTTATGTGGTTCTTGAATGCCTTATGTTTTTCTGTCTAAAACTGAACAAGGTAGCAGATAGCTGCCATCTTCTTTCCTGCTTTTCCTTCCTCCTCTGTTACTCAGTCAAGATTTGCCTGTTTTTATTTCTACTGATGGATCAATTTGGAATTTTCCGGACAGTATATGCAAGTACATTTTTACATCACCTAGGAGCCTGAGCTTTGCTATTTGATGTAAGAAATGCAAGCATGATCTTGGTCAAAATTTTTGCTTTGGTGACTGCAAGTGGGATGTGAAGACCTAAAACTCCACTCACAGCAAACACAGGTTTTTTATAAAGAGGTTTTTATTGTTTTCAGGGCAGATCTGGAACAAGAATTCTAAATGGTCTTGTAATACTTCAAGGAAGGAGTAAATTGGCTTTTAAATCTCCTCCTATAAGGAGTAAAAGAATGTCCATGCTATTAATTTTTATTAACTCATCGTCTCCAGATCAATACATCAAAGGCTGAAAGAAATGTGACTGCCAGAACAGGCACGATGCGTAGGACACTAACAGGCAAAAAGGGAGAAAACCCATCTTTTTGCTGGATGTCTCCCAGTTTTTTATCTTTGTGGGTTTTCATTCCTTGTTGCATCAAGCAGATGAGAACTATGTGCAGAAGTTTGTCTTGGTAACTGCCCTTGTGAATGTTTCTAAATGTGGGTTGTGAATTGTGAAAGACAAGCATTCTTGTACTGATGGGTCCTGTAGAATGGTAACTGTCTCACAATCTGCAAAGCTTGTACTCCAGCAAAGCCAGATTCCCGAATTCATGGAGCCCTGATGTACTCTTCACATCAACAGCAAATCTTGACTCATGATACGGAACTGCTGAGAGCTTAAACAGACATTATTCTAGAAGTTCCCAAGGGGCTCAACACTGGATCAAGCAGTTCAAGTGTTTGGGCATTTCATACCCTTTCCTCCCTCAAATCTGCTGCCCTAGATAAAGTATTTTGGTCGCCGCCTTTTCATGTGACTGGAAGTTCTTAAGTTAATGTAAAACTTAAATATCCACAGATCTTATGACAAGAAACACTTTTGAACTATTTTTTGAGCAACAGCGGTTAGTTTAGGCTGGCAGGTCTGAGGACATCTCAAGATGTCCAAGGGCAGGTAGAGGTGACACGTCAGGGACACGGACAACACATGCACAGATGCGCTGTTTTATTCTGTGCTGCCACTCCTCCTTGGCCTCTTCTCTTTCAGCAAGTGCCGCTGTACTCTGTACCTCATCCCAGGGCGTACTGCACTGTTCCCTCAGTGTTGATTACTGCCATTCACTAGTATGGGCACAACATACAGGTTGGCATCCTTCCCTCACAGAAAAGCATTAAATCAGTATAAGAACAGGCCTCTACTGCTTGTTCCAATGCTAAAGAAACAACAAATGAATCCAATGTTACAAGCTGTTTTCTCCGTAGCAACCAAAACCAGCTCTGGACATACTTTACTTTTTTTCTGTACTGCTGGACAAAAGGGAACTGTGATACTTAATACGTGAATCAGTAAACATTTTTTATGGGCAGTGGAAGGTCGGTGTGCTCTTCACAGAACTGAAGTGCAAGAGCTATCAACCTGTCTGAATGCAGAGCACTGCTCAAGCTCAAAAAGCAATATAACCCGAATTTTTTCTGTGGTGCACAAAAATTGCTATTTTATAGTGATAGTAAAAACTATTGCTGTAATATTTCTCCTAGGAAAAATGGAATTCTTGTGTCTTTATGAATTTTTAGTGAATCTCAGCACATCTTTTGGGCTGAATTACTGCTTGTAACAGACTGTTCTACTCAAACACCCTCCCTACCACTGTTGTTGGGTTAGCTGATTAAGTGCCAGCAACTACCACAAATTTTGCATGAGTAAAAATGGTTTTCAAGACTGCCCTAATTTTTGACCCAGCAAAGAGGAATTGACTGAGCTGTCAGTGGTGCTGGCATCTTCAGGGGAGAGGTTTGTAGTTGGGCAGGGAGTGGAGGAGATGGGAAAATGGCTGGAAATCTTCTAGAAGAGAGGATTTACTGCTCTCTAATCCATGCAGAACTACCTGTGAAGCTCAATGACAGGAAAATGGAAAGTGCAAAAAGGAATTTAAGGCCTAGTTTATCACAGGCAGCTGTCAATGATCTCTGAGCTCCTGTGGCAGTGAATGCTGAGGACATTTGCTAAATGCCTTGCTGTTTGAGAATTGCCTTTCCCCTTCAGAAAAAGAGTAAATTCCGTGGACTGTCTACAAGATCTTAATATGTCATTCCTTAACTGTGAAAAGTGTCTTATTATTGTAAGGCACTTGAACAAAGAGGCAGTGATATGCAAGGGTCACCTTTGTAGTGATTCCTAGAACATTTAACGGGTATGGCCTATCAAGTCTACTGAGAGATAATTCTAAAAAGGTAACGGGTTTACCCTAGTCTTTCAACACTGCTCAGAACAACAATATAAACATGTCTAGCACCCCAAAATAACACTAACTTGTAATCTTTAAGGTATCAGTACTTGAAATTTTGTAAGATATGATTGTAAATGCTAAGTAAAGAAAGAAAAAAAAAAAAGAAGAATCTTGAGAAAATGCACCAATGTAGTTATGTACATTCCAAATATATTTAGTTCCCACAGCTGTCAAAAATAACTCACAGAAAAAACTAATATGGGAAATATGAGCACAATATTTTAAACTTAGAGCATAAAAAGTAAACTTTGAAACTCATTCTTTACAGTTCTCTTAATCCACATTTCTTCAGTAAATATAAATTCTCCTCCCATTTTTGTAAATGGTATTTAAAAAGACTTTTTTTTTTTTTTTTAGCAACACAGGCTGTGCCGTGAGTAAACCACAGTTTGGGGCTGCAGCCATATTTCTTTAAACCAGGTTGAACTCCCTCAGGTTTAATTGCAGGATCGTGTCCTTGACAGCAGCAAAGACGAAACGAATATTTTCTGTGTCTGTGGCACAAGTGAAGTGAGAATAGATTACTTTCTCCTTGTCTGGATTCTGATCCTGATACAGCTTCAAAATGAAGTCTCTGGCAGCTTTGACATCTTGTTTAGGTCCTAGTCAAAAGCACAATTAGTGGTTTTGAACAGTTAAAAACTATGGGTCAAGGAAGAAACATATAGTCAGTGTCTTAACAGGCTAATTTCATATTTAAATCTGAAATTGCCATACAGGCATACTCCCTTAAACCTTATAGGTCAAAGTAATTTTTTATAAAAAACCTATGTAACTGAAATTACCCAGCATATATTAATAGTTTGCTACATTACTGTGGTATGTCAAAGACCATGAGAGAAACTGTATTTTCTACAACACACAGTGTAAACACGATTCTCTTTCGCCAAGAGAGGGAAGTGTGTTTTCTCTGTAGCTATTAAATTATGATAATTCTTTTAATTCTTAATTGTAGGATTCAATGTGATACATGTCTTGCAGAATATGCTATTATATTGAGTAATGGAATATATCTGTGATTATTTTCCTCTTTTTTTTGATGACTCTAAGTATCAGTAACATTTGTTAAGGAAAGCTATTCAGACTGCTTTTTAACTTTGGACTTTTATATAGATAACAAGTTATAATAATGCAAAACTATACGATGGGTTTTTACTAAATAGAGAGTTGGATTAATAGCTGTACTCCTCCAAGTTCCCTCCATATCTTTTCTGTTGAGATCAAAGATGAAAAAGGTGCTTCTTCTCATAAATAGATAGTGGTCATGCCACTCCAATGGTGACAGAATGGCTGCAAGGAATTTCTTAAGACTCTGTCCACAATGCTGCAGTAGAAAACCAAAGTTCCAGTAAAACTGAGTAACTTAAGTTTGTATTTTAAAGGATACAGTAGAAAAGCATAGATATAAAATATAGTGCATAATTCTACTTTCCCTGTTCAATTAAACAAGGAAAAGCTAACTAAAACAGTTTAAATATGACTTTTAGCTTTGAGAAGATAGTCTGGGATAAATGCTTACCTGTGTATTCTGGAAAGTAACTAATTAGATGGGAATACATTATTTTCTCTTCTAGAAGATCTTTTTTATTTAAAAACAAAATGACTGAAGAATTCAGAAACCAGGGATATGTAATTATAGTTTTAAATAAGGCCTTGCTTTCTTCCATTCGATTCTACAACAAAAAAAATTAATATCAAGTTACACTCTCTAGAAAGTTGCATACACTAATCACATTAGCCAGACATCATATAGGTTTTCTTGAAAGCTTTTTAAAAAGTATTACTTTCATTAAGCACAATTGCCATGCACTGGTTGACCACTACTCTACATGTTCTATATAATTTTACTCACTGGGTTTTGAATCACTGTTATGAATGGCATGATGGCATGTGAAATCAAGGTAAGCCTTAATAATAGAAATTATTTGAATTCTTGTATGAGTTAGTGAGCAGCCATGGACTGCTTCTCTGTGAAGGGCTCTTCTGACCTCACAGGGAGTGCTGAAGCAGGGTGTATCGGGTCAAATATCTGATAATAACATACTGTAACATAGCTAAAGGACAAGCATTTATGTACTCATCTATACTAGTAATAAAGTCCGTCCGTTTCAAGACAGTTCTAAGGAACACCACATTCAGAAATTGCTGTTTGCAGTTCCTGGGGATAAACTTGTGATAGCAGTCAGTTCATTATTTATTTCTTAATCTCCAAAGTGAACAAAACAAAATGTTCAAGATGGTAAAAAGAAAATTACTGTTAAAGTCTGTTAAAGTTGTTCATGCATCAAAAGATGACAGGAAACTTTGAAAACTCTATCTCAACAATGGATGTTGTGACACTTCAGCACATTAAGTAGGGTATGCTTTCCACAATTCAAGCACATCTTGAGAAAGTGACCTGTAAGGGCTTTGGGACTTTAGAGCTCAAATGGTATTAAGCGTTTTTGAAGGACCTTTGAAGGAGTCTTTATACTGCAGGATGTAAAGCAACCACTACTAAAAGGAATGCAGTTCCACTACTATGCTTTTCTGTAATTGCCCACTGTTTTCTTTTTTGCATCCTTCTCTACGACATCTGTCTATTGCTGATGATGGTACTCTAGAACAGATGGGAGAAATCATCTTATGTTTTCTAACCTTGGGAAGGAGGTAGATGTTAAGTTATTTGGTTTTAATTTTCCTTAACTAATGCATAGGTTAATTCTGAAACATCAGAGACTTAAAAAAACAACCACCCAAACCCTAGTTACAGATGACTGAGGTAGCTTTAGTTGCTTAGAGATATTGCTGATACTCAAATTCTCAAACATTTGACATGAGTTAAGTGATTTAAACATTTTTAAATAATATTTTTTCTTTTAAGGTAGAGTTCACTTTTACAGTCAGCCTGCTTATGTAATACAACTTCAGAACTGCTTGATCAGCTTCTTAAAGTAATTTTAATATTTGCAAGTGCTTTTATGAAGACACATGAATGCTGTTGTTCTTAAAAAGTATACATCTTTTTCTCTACCTTATTTAGATACCCCCACTCCTTACCTCATTGTCACATTCTGCCAAGACTTGATCATATTCACTTAATGCAACCAAGAAAATGATGGAAGTAACACTTTCAAAACAATGGATCCACTTCCTTCTTTCTGATCTTTGGCCACCTACATCCACCATCCTGTTAAAAAAGAAATACAGTCAATATATTAGCTATTTTCATAAGATACTTGGATGTGAAGTATGTCCAAAGGCCTTATAATAGATCACCTACCTGAGATAAGCTTGAACTGTGAAAAGTGTATCTTAACATTGTATGTTCTGTTTAATATTTAAACTTGTTTCACATGCTGTAGTGCTACAACTTTCACTGTTCTTTAGTGTTGTTGTGTATTAATCCCAGTGGTCACCTGAGCACATGGCAGCTGCTTGCTCACTCCTCATCCCCACCGTGGGTGGACAGGGGGAGAGGAAAGAAAGAGTAAAAGCAAGAAAACTTGGGGGTCAAGTTTAAAAAAAAAAATAAGAATTGTTTAATAAGTGAAATATAAGTGAAATAGTAGATAAAGAAAACAAAGGAAGTGATGCAGAGGAAATCACTCACCACCTCCCAGGGGTAGACTGATGCCCAACCAGTTCCTGAGAAAAAAGATGGCCAACCTCCCTAAAGCCCCCTCTTTTCACTTTTATCTCTAAGCATGACATTACATGGTGTGAAATATGTCTCAGATCATCTGTGTCCCCTCCCAACCCCTTGTGCACCCTGCAATGTATTCACTGGAGGGACAGAGACACAGAGAAGGCCTTGGCGCTGTGCAAACACTGTTCAGCAAAACCTAAAGTATGTTAACAGTACTGTTTTGCTTTCAAATATAAAGCACAGCACCGTATCAGATGCTATGCAGAAAATTAACTAGGCCCAGTACAAGTGTATAAGTCACTTGAGGCACCATATAAAATATAATTTTCTGTGTTGGTAGTTTTAGCAAAGGCAAATGTGAACATATTCAATTTTGTTTCCCCACACACTCTGAAATCTCCCTTGCCCCCTTTCCCCCCAAGAACCCCAGTTTAGTCATAGCTCACTCCTCAAAACAATCAAAATGCTGACAAATATCTTAGTTCCACATAAAATTCCTATCATTTTGCAGACAGTTAACTAAGTCCCTCCAATTTTATTCAGGTCAAAATGTTCCCTGGAACACTGCTTTTTCCAGGAAAAACCAACCAAACAACAAAATCACAGTTAGGCTGGTTTGACCATGTGTTATCAGAGTGGATTCTGGTTCTGTGTTGTAACTGCTGGCAAGTGTTTGTTCATGATGAAATGGGTGGTTTGGTGGAATAATATCTATAATCATGCTAGTGTGAGTCCTGCAATTTTGCAATTAAAAAATATGCTTTCCTTTAGAAAATCAGTAACCCCACCTGTTGCAATAGCTTGTCCAGTAGCAGGTAAGATAATTTTAAGGTGCTTCTCAGACTTTCTTTCAACTCTATGAGCATGTTTACTTCTCTCAGTTCCACTGAACATAATTTTTTTTTTATATTATATGGCATGAAGAAGTATCTACTTTTGTGACCCTCCACTTTCCCCCCTCGCCCCCTTCCTTCTTCCCTCAGTGTCTCCCTAACTTTATCTAACTGAAAACTGTAAACCCACTTGACGGCTTTATTATTAGGGCCCTCTCTTCCAAACAGTTACAGTCAGGAGGCGAAGACTGTTGGCTCTAAATGGAATTAAACTACATTCCAATAATGAGCACTCATGTTAATACAAATGTCTCGCCTCTGCATCTAAGACTTTTAATTAAACTAGTAGTTCAGAATGCACAGCAATTGGGATGCTTAATTTGAAAAGCTTTTTCCATGTACTATAAATTTCAAAAGGAATGTTTGAAACACCACTCAATTACTCTAACTTTGGAGACTAAAAGGGCTGGAAATACATAAAACACTCATTAAATGCAAAAGCTTAAAGGACCTTAGAAGTAAAGTTGCAGCAGTTACTTTCACAATTGTATACTGAGTCACTTGACAGGCAGTCTTACCTAAATATAATATTTTCTAAATCAAAAGGATACTCGATAATTCCTGTAGTTGGCACTCGGACTCTAAGAATATCTTGCTGAGTTGGCACAAATGAGGGCATAGCAATACGATCAAGGTCAGTAAGATAACTGAAAAGTTTAATATACAACAGAAACAAGGTTAATACACCGTCATAAATTCATCACACAGATTCAAAACCAAAGTACTAACCAGCAATCACAGATGTGTTCCCACAAAAGCAACTAAGCAGAAATTCAGTTGTGCATGGCCTTAGTGCAATTGTTGCTGGCATAAAACAATAAAACCCTTTATTTAACTGTGACTTGCATGTACATTTCAGACAGAATACTACTAGTCAAAGGAGATTATGCTTAAATGTTCTATAGACAATCGGCCCATACCCAAAATGATTAATTTTATTTGAATAATCTTTACTATTATCCCAAAATTAACATCAAAATTAAGAGCTGAACACTAATATATCCTAGCCATAATGTTTATCAACGGTACTCTATCCCCTGTCACCCCATCTGTGATGCTAATATTGCACACAAATGTGAAAGGTTGCAGGACAGAATTCAAAAAAGTAATTAATGAAAAGCACTGCAAACATGAATGCTTCAAACATATATTTTTAATATAAAAGATGATGTATTTAGTTTCTCATCTGCCCATGTGTTCATTCTTGACTCTACCCTATTTAAGCACAAGAGCCTTGTGAAGCTTTCATGGCTGGGATTAAATTCTGGGATGACATTCCTGTGCCTCAATAAATGAGCAGTGTGTGAGCAAGACACAAAGAACTGATGATTAGTATTCCTCCAGGCCATCTATCTTCCTACCACTAGAAGGCAACATTAGATCACCCAAAATTCTAACAAGGCATACAAAAAGGAGAAGCTGTATTCACAATCATGCAACATGGTTGTAGCACAGACCTTCCTTTATTTAAGCACTAACTGCCCCCTTTTCCTTTTGTGGAAGAGGGAGGTGATCAATGTTTTCTCCCCTTGCTCCCCAAACATACCTCATATTTGGGGTCCAAATAAAAAAAAATGTTATCACTTACTCAGAAAAGATTTCTCTTAAGGAAATTCCTCCTCTCCAGCAATGTAGCAAATTGTTATTGGGATCTCAGTTGAAATTCATAGTAAAAGGAAGATGGAAGCTAGGCTAAGGCACATGGAAAACAAACAAGTGACTGGTGACAACCAGTATGGCTTCACCAAGGGCAAATCGCAACCTGACGAATATGGTGGCCTTCTACGACAGGCCACAGTGCTGGTGAATAAAGGAAGGGCAACTGCTATCATCTGCCTGAACTTTGTGCAAAGTGCAAAGCCTTTGACACTGTCCCACATGACATCCTTGTCTCTAAGTTGGAGAGACATAGATATGATGGAAGGACCACTCGCTGGATAAGGAACTGTCTGGATGGTTGCGCTCAAAGAGTTGTGATCAATGGCTCAACGTCCAAGTGGAGACCAGTGACAAGTGGTGTTCCGCAGGGGTCAGTATTAGGACCAGTGTTGTTTAACATCTTTGTTGGTGACATGGAAAGTGAGACCAACTGCACCCTCAGCAAGTTTGCCCATGACACCAAGCTGTGTGGTGTGGTGGACATGCTGGAGGGAAGGGATGCCATCCAGAGGGACCTGGACAGGCTGGAGAGTTGGGCCTATGCAAACCTCATGAAATTTACAGGGCCAAGTGCAGGTCCTGCATGTGGGTCGAGGCAATCCCAAGCACAAATACAGGCTGGGTGGAGAATGGCTTGAGAGCACCCCTGAGGAAAAGAACTTGGGGGTGTTAGCTGATGAAAAGCTCAACATGAGCCAGCAACGTGCACCTGCAGCCCAGAAAGCCAACCGTACCCGGGGCTGCATCAAAAGAAGCATCAGCAGCAGGTCAAAGGAGATGATTCTGCCCCTCTACTCTGCTCTTGTGAGACCCCACCTGGAGTACTGTGTTCAGATGTTGAGCCCCCAACATAAAAAAAAAAAATGGAGCGAGTCCAGAGGAGCGAGTCCAGAGGAGAGCCACAAACATGGTCAGCAGGCTGGAGCACCTCCCCTATGAGGACAGGCTGAAAGAGTTGGGGTTGTTCAGCCTGGAGAAGAGAAGGCTCCAAGGAGATTTAACAGCAGCCTTCCAGTACCTGAAGGGGGCTACAGGAGAGATGGGGAGGCACTCTTTATCAGGGAGTGTAGTGACAGGACAAGGGGTAACAATTATAAGCTGAAAGAGGGGAGATTTAGATTAGATATTAGGAAGAAATTTTTCACTGTGAGGGTGGTGAGGCACTGGAACAGGCTGCCCAGGGAAGTTGTGGATGCCCCATCCCTGGAGGGGTTCAAGGCCAGGCTGGATGAGGCTTTGAGCACCTGGTCCAGTGGAAGATGTCCCTGCCCATGGCAGGGGGGTTGGAACTTGATGATCTTTAAGGTCCTTTCCAACTCAAACCATGCTATGATTCTATGATTCTATTCTATGATTTCTTAGAAAAATAGGATAGAGTAAATCATTAAGTGGCATCCTTCTTCTCCAATAAGGCACACAGACATCTGTCAAGAATGATAACATTTAACACACAGGAACAGATTGCTTGTGTGTAAGCATTCTGAGTTGAAGTTTAACATAAATGCCTAATCTAAATGTTCCTTGCTGAAATTTAACCCTGTTACTTCTCAGTTTTGGCAGAAAGAGAAAAGTGAATTTTCTGTTCTCATAGAACAGTACTGTTTTCACAATTAAATTATTTGAAAATCAGAGCAAAGACTTACCTTCATTCTTATTTATATCCTAATTTTTTTTCACGTAACTCAACTGTCTGACCTGCCTGCTTGTTGTCAATATATTTTGTACAGTTGTTTTTCATTATTTCGCCCAAGGGAAACTCAGTTATGTACCAGCTGTGTTGACGTCAGAACTGGGAGGGATGATGGTTCCAGCATGTCCAGAAAGCCCAAAATTAGTTTATTTTATCACTCCTGCTTAAAATTTGTTGTGTACCACAAGGCCAACAGAGACGCAGGTATAACTAATAAAATCAGTGTGAACCTATCTCTCCATTATGAGCCAGCAGTGTGCCCAGGTGGCCAAGAAGGCCAATGGCATCCTGGCCTGTATCAGAAATAGTGTGGCCAGCAGGACTAGGGAAGTGATTGTGCCCCTGTACTCGGCACTGGTGAGGCCGCACCTTGAATCCTGTGTTCAGTTCCTCACCACAAGAAGGACATTGAGGTGCTGGAGCGAGTCCAGAGAAGGGCTCTACAGCTACCTGAAAGGAGGTTGTAGCAAGGTGGGTGTCAGACTCTTCTCCCAAGGAATTGTCCGCGAGCTGCACAAGGGGAGGTTTAGATTGGATATTAGGAAAAATGTCTTCACTGAAAGGGTTGTCAAGCATTGGAACAGGCTGTACAGGGAAGTGGTTGAGTGACCATCCCTGAAGGTATTTAAAAGAGGTGTAGATGCAGTGCTTAGGGACATGGTTTAGTGGTGGACTTAGTGTTAGGTTAATGATTGGACTCTATGATCTTAAGGGTCTTTTCCAACCTAAATGATCCTATTATTAACTTCATTAAGTCTGGCTTGTCCTTGTAATTAAGCAGTGTACTTACTACTTAGTGGAGTCTGAGAGCTGGTACTCCCTCCGTCTGTCGTAGCATTCTTGAATTCCTGGGTCTTCCCAGAGCTTCTTGATTGCTTCAACTTGTTTTCTTTCCAGCACTGTCACTTTATCCACTTCCACTTCTTTGATCATCTGAGCACTCTCCTAATCAATTAAATGAATACACTAGTGTGAGAAAGGATTGTCCTCCGCATGCAATACACACTTTCCCCTTTATTATACTCTTCCCATCAATGAGACTAAGCATCAGAAAGGAACCTAGGAGAAAATAAGTGGTTTTAATCATTAAATGCATTTAATTTTTTCAAGTCAAATGACTGCTACTGAATGTTTTAACCAAGTTAGTCTTGCTTACTGTCATCCAGGTGTGATTTTTCTTTTTAAAAGGGGACCTTGACAAAGGCCAGAAGGACCTCTAAACATACTATTTTTAAACTGACCAAATTTTAATAACAACTTACAGCAGTGCTAATGTTTCTGAAATTCTATATACTTCCTTTAGTACAGGTACTTTTGGTTTGTTTGTTGGTTTGGTTGTTTCAGGACAAACCAGAGGCTGACCTAGCATAAACAGTCATCAAGCAGGCACCAAATTCCTACGAGCCGTCTTCTGTTCAATGCCTATCTCACTGAGATATAGCTGAAGTACTACTCTATGGAAAGAAACAATTTTTGTTTGCTTTCTGCTGTTAAGTGTAAGAGATATTGCAAAGATAAATAAAGGGATACAAAAGAATCTATCGTTCTGGAGTGAGTGGTGCAGCTGATTCACTGGAGGGAAGGGATGACATTAAGAGGGACCTTGACAGGCTTGAGGAATGAGCTTGTGCAAACCTCATCAAGTTCAACAAAGCCAAGTGCAAGGTCCTGCATGTCGGTCATGGCAATACCCAACATCATTACAGACTGGGGGATGAATGGATTGAGAACAGCCCTGAAGAAAGAACTTGGGGGCACTGGTAGATGAAAAATCACACATGAGCCAGCAATGTGCACTTGCAGCCCAGAAAGCCAGTTGTATGCTGGGCTCCATTGAAAGAAGTGCAGCCAGCAGACTGAGGGAGGTGCTTCTCCCCCTCTACTCTGCTCTCATGAGACCCCACCTGGAGTACTTCATCCAGCTCTGGAGTCCTCAGCATAGGAAGGACATGGACCTGTTGGAGTGAGTCCAGAGGAGGGCCACAAAAATGATCGAAAGGATGGAACACCTCTCCTATGAGCATAGGCTGAGAGAGTTGGGGTTTTTCAGCCTGGAGAAGAGTATTGGCTTTTCAATACTCAAAGGGGGCTTATAAGAAAGATGGAGAGTGTTTTTTCCAGTGTCTGTAGTGAGAGGACAAGGGCTAATGGTTTTAAACTGAAAGAGGGTAGATTTAGCTTGGACATAAGGGAGAAACTTTTTACTGTGAGGGTGGTGAGGCACTGGAACAGGTTGCCCAGAGAAGCTGTGGATGCCCCATCCCTGGAGGTGTTCAAGGCCAGTTTAAGTGCAAAACTGTGTAAAACAGAGCCTAATGTCTCAAAATGTCTCCTTGCTCAGTTCAAATTAATTTTTAATTTAAATATTATAGGTCTCCAAAATGTTGTGAATATACTACTGAGTTTTCATATTAAAAATTTACAATGCAGTCATAATGCCTGGGCGAAGTCTTCATGATTGGAATTACCTTTGATTTTACAGGTATTCTGTTACACAAAACCAAACACCATGTCTTCTGATTTTCATTAGAACTGGTTGGGTTTGTTTTAATAGGAGCTAAAAGCTTTAAGCATAACCATTATAATTACTGCTACACTGTAAATTGTTAATCAAGGTAAAATAGCTTAAAATGCATCATGGTATAAACATTCCTATTAGTATTTCTTGTCTATTGAATAAATTTTCAGTTCTGTAATTGTTATACCAAATGTTCATGCTGATCTAGAAAAATGTAGGAAGAGATTTTACCTCTAACTTACACTTTATTTAGGCACCGTATATGAGGCAAGAGATCAGAGACCCTGTGTCCTGGCAGTAACTTTTCTCCATATTTTCAATCTTACTTGATGAAAGATGTGCAGAATAATTTAGATTATGAGTAACTCTTCCTTCCATTCGCTAAAGGCACAGAACAGATATATCCTTTTCTTGAGAAAAGAAAGGGCACTGACATACAAATACCCTCACAGCATTTTCACTGGGGTTGACTCAGTCCATGATAAAACTTTGCATGTGTCTACGAGTAATTGTAGCTGCAAAACCTGCTTTGCAATCATGTCCTTGTGAAAATAAATATTTTGTAAGTGTCTACATCTGCAAACCTCAGTCCCCTTATGTGGCCAAGTGCCATGTGACATCAGGAAAAATCCTTTTTCGGGAAATAATTCAGATTAATCTTTCATTTCATAAAATATAGCAAATAGAGTTGAACACGGACAGCTAGTCTCATGCTCGTAATTCCAATGAAAAAATGATGAAATTATAATGAAATTTAAAATTACTTAAAGCATCAAGTGATTTTAATATCATTCTACAGCTATGTCTTCCTCATCCTCCGGAAACAGGCACGTTACTAATAAAAACCTACTTTGGTATGAATGATGGGTGGATAGTATGACATGAAAGCAAGATACAGAAAATGTCAGGTTCCTTAAAATCCAGTTCTCAGGAAAAAAGAGTAATCTTAGGAGACAGTGTACAATAATCTAGCCAGGATCTGGCTGAAAAGGCGACAAAACTTGAAGCACACTCCAAGATGTCCTTAGAAGCAGTAGAAAGTCCTTCAAACTGGGCAGTAAGAGGGTCCCATATTTTTTATACTGAGAAATACCATAATTTTAACTAAAAGGCAAGGTGTCGCAGGGTTTTGTGCGTTTGTGCACATGAGTGTGTGTGGCAATTAATTACTAACAGCAAACATTCCCCATAAGTAACAACCAGAGCCATGCCAGCTGTTTCAGCCTCTGACTACTGTAATGATTGTAGTAAATTATTCTTCTACAAAATTGTGTTGACATGATAAAACATATCAACGTAACACAGAAGTATAATTTGAAATTAATTGTTTGGTTTAAATATAGTCTTCAATATTACTGATTGTCAATCGTTTATATTAGCTATAGCTTAGTTGCAGACAAACTGTGTTATATTCATGGTCAACACAAATATTAATTGCAACTGAGCTGAAAATTTGCAAATCATGGCAAAATTAACTAAGTCCGCAAACTCTATACACAGCTCTTTCAGTTCACAGTAAGAATCAGTTCTGTTAATCAGGACTTTTTTAGATACGCCAGTATCTAACCTACTGAAGGATTTTTTTCTGATTATTGCAAATATGTGGCCTTTGAATCCGTCACAAACCGTGAAAGCTAAAGAAATTGCCTAACCAGCTATAGCTCTTGAAACTAGTTTGACATCTGATAAAATGCTTAAATGCCCTTTGTTTCCTCTGGTTAAACCCTGTAAAGGGTAACTGAATAAGATGCCCCACAAGGCTCACAGGGCTTTTATTATTTAGCTGTAGAATCCCACTACTAGGAATTATAGAAAGAGATTATTAAATCTTGTCAACACTTAGTAATAATGTAAGTTCACATTCTAACAAATATCTTTACACCCCCAACAGCATACCATGAAAGCAGTTAAAATATGATGAAACTTCATAATGGGATTTTGTCAAAAAGCGGATGTCAGTGTTTCAAGTGGACAGGGTCATCTTTCAAAACCTTACTCTACAACTCAGAAGAACACCAGAAATTTATTTTTCATTTCCCTCAAAGCCAGAATGGAATTTTATAGAATTCTCAATGACCACTAAGAAGTTAGCCCAGGAGACGTTGTGGAAATATGCAGTATTGTAATACATGAGCCGCAGGGGCTTTACAGAAAGAACAGAAGGGGCTCACTAACATGAAAAGAAAACAAAACAAATCTACAATCATTACAGACCAAAGGAAGGAACAAAGAGGGTAAATGCAAAACAGCACAAGCAGATGTTAACAATGTCCATTATTGGCATAATTTTTTAAAAAACTAAATACAAGCAACAAATGAGTTCCAGAATTCACTCTTAATTCAAATATGTATAGCACATTATGCTCTCTCTAAACACACTATAAGCAGGAACAGCAAAAGTTACGTTAAAGGTGCTGTAACATTTTTATATTCAAAATCCCTTTTCTGAAGTTACCCTACTTCAGTCTGATTTTTTTTTAAGTAGACCTCTGCTTCTTGATGACATGGTGCAGGTACAGAAAAGAATACAGATGATAAAATAAGGGTAAGTAATTTTGAAAACAACACAAGCAGGAAAATATAGTTGTTCCATTAAAAAAAAAACAAACCAAACTATACCACAAAACAAACCCAACAAAAAAACCCCTTGGATTCTGGAAAGAAAACTTATCATGTTTAGAAAGACAGTGGCAAAATTTTTGGCAAATATATTCAAAACCTGAGTCTAAACTGCTTAGAGTACTGAAAGTCTATTAGTCTCTTAAAAATCTATTACATTATTCTCCACCGGAAATCAAACTTCATCCTGCAATTAAAGTGCAACTGATGGTGTATCACAAGAAACACTTCAAGGTTCAATTGTTAATCTGTTTTCAACAAAAAAATCAGGAAGGATCTTGAACACGCCTTTTTCACTTCACACAGGAATACCACTGGGTAAAAGCAGCTTTCTCAACTTTTGTGAAAGTGGCAAAAAACAAGCACAAATGCCAGCTGAATGAGTATAACATTAAATGCAACTTGTAGTAAGGACAGATTTTTGCCAGACAAGAAATGGGTAACACCACAAGAGACAAATGTTATTTTTACATATATGAATAAATTTTATCTCCAGCTGTTACATGTGATGTACAGAACTGATTACTTCACTACAGTTTCTTTTCGGAGGGTCTAATTTTTTTCCAAGTGTGGAGATTCATATTTGATTTGATACATTGCAGGTCTGTCATATTTCTTAAGAAACTGAATGTTAAATAGAACCCAACAATGGCTCTATGCGTTACCTTATCAAGATTTTTGTATTTACAAGGCCTGAATGTATAGGAATATTTATTTCTTCACCCATAACCCAGGTTATTACTCCTTTAAGAAGCTTTCTGAGAAGAGCAGTCTGTTTTGGAACAATAGATACTGAAAGTGTTTCCTAAATACCCACTGGTAAAGACAGGAATTATTCATTTTAAAAGTGCTGTGGAAACTAGTGAAGCTCTTATTTTTCTAAGCATTTATGTTTTATGGTCTTTGCACTTCACTTTCATACACCAGGTCCTTCCTCATTTGGGTGGGCAAAACTAGCTACAAAATGCTTCAACAAATGGAGCATTGGAAGATACAGCACGGTCACAGGAAGGGACAGAAAGTGCTTATGCAGTATTGGGAGGTTACAACAACAGCCAGTTAAAGGCATATGCCACTTCAGAAAGACATTATTTATCAAGAGATACTTAGCTATAGCAGGAGTTTAAGTTTTCATACTATGAATAAGAAGTTTATGAATATCACTGATCACGTTTTACATCTCTAGACATTTTTACTATTACAGGGCTACTGAAATACAGTGCTTATGTCTTATGCAATATCTTACACGATTAAATACTTCACTCCTCTTCATACTATTGTTAGGCCCATAAATTGAACTTCTGGGCAGTATAATGCCATATATTTTGGAAGCCATTGTGTTTAGCTAAAACCATGTTTACATTCATTTTCATCTCATTTTTTGAAATGGTCCCATCAGTTGATTTGACATAATGAATAGGGTGTGTTTGTTTCTAAAGAAATAAAAAGAGAATGCATAAAACAAGGAAAAAAAACCACAAAAAACCCCCTAAGATTTTATAATTTACTACAATGGGGACAGGAAGGTGCTATTCCC